GCGGGGTCGGCGAGCCCTGGGGAGGGGGCGGGGCCGGCCGGGCGGTGATGTGTGCGGGTTCCTGGAGGCTGGGGCCTTGTGCTTTGGCGCTTGGGCGGCTCTTGTGTCCCCGTGTGTCCTCTCTCTGCCCTGTCCTTGGGCCCCCCAGCCCTCCTGCTCTCACCTGCGGGAATTAATCAGCTCTGGAGTCCTCAGTGAAATAAAATGTTATAAACATCCTTTGGTTGTGGAGAAGGTGGGGTTTGTGAGAAATCACGCTGTGCTGTTGGTTACAACTTAAAATCCAAACCAGATGACCTTTAACATCACCTTTTTTTAAAAGAAAGGAAGCACGTGACAAGTCATCTGATCGACCCGACGCAGGACCTGGAGAAGGCTGAGAGGGAGACGAGGACACCCGAGCCTTCCCCCAGGAGGAAGGGGCGTAGGGGCGGGGCCTCGGTGTGCCGCGGGCCTCCACCACCCCTCATTTCTGCCTCCCCAGCCGGACAAGGGTTGTCTGGGCTCAGCGCTCCTGTCCTAGAGCCCCTAACCCACGTGTGTCTCCTTGCAGCTCTGTGCAGCAGAGTCCCCGAGACCCTTACCCCACTGTTTGGCACCGAGTAGTGGTGTCCTGTCAGCGGTGTGACCCCTGGGAGCTTGCGCCCCTCCCGGTCGGACAGGCCCGTGAGGGCCCACTGAGTTCTGCCTGAAGCTCGTGGACCAGTGGCAGCACTCACTCACGTTAGGGTGATTATCCCCCACGTTGGTCCCAACCAATGTAAATTTATGACCGAGTTTATAGCTATCACTGCCGGCACAGATTTTCTCTTGCCCCAAACCAAGAATATTCCACAAACTAACAATTAAAACAAAGCCAAACTTATTCTTTAGATTTTTAAAGCATCACTTTAAATGTAATTTTTCCTTAACCTGCGTCAGTATTTGCACAGCCCTTATATGGGTTGAAACTCTTAGGTAAGATGGGTAAAAATGCAACCTTATTTACAGTGGCATATTAGGAATAGCTTATTTTAAAGAAGTTGGTAGAAAGCCTCAGAGTAGTGGGGTGCCTGGGTGGCTCAGTAGGTTGAGTGTCTGAGTCTTGATCTCAGGATCATGAGTTCAAGTTCAGTGCTGGGCTCCACCCTGGATGTGAAGCCTACTTTAAAAAAAACAAACAAACAAAGCCTCCTAGTAGCTCTCGGAATACCTGCAGGCTTTAGAGCCACAACCCTCAGCAAGCAATGGGAGGAAGAGGTAAGAGGTCATACATGGTGTCCCGTGCCTCCACAGCACATGACATCGGAACTGGGCTTGGTTGCCCTGTCTTGCTTCCTGCATATCTCTTGCTGCCAGAAATTTACTTTTCATTGCCTTTCCCCTAATAAAAATTTGGTGATAATTTGCTTTTTGTAAACATTCAGAAACGTCAGAACATTGCAAGCTTCAGAAATGCAGGGTTGAGGCTGGGTAAGGGCCTGAGATTAATCCCTTCCTGGATGGCAAGATTCTCAGCAGAGAGCAGGCCCTGGGGACTGTCCCCTCTCCACACCAGAGGGACAGAGGGAGGACTTGGGGCAGATTGAAAAGATAAACAAAGTCACAGGACACCTGAGGGGAGGCATGCAAAACTCGTACAGCTTTTGGCTCACCAGCTGACCTTTTCCTCTACTTTAGTTGCTGTTTGTTCAGACTAATTGGTGGACACTGGTTGTATCCAGAAGACTTGATGCCAGTTTCCAGGGCCTTCAGATATGGAAACTGCCCAACAGCCTCTACCATGCTGGTGTATGGGGCAGATAAGTGGCGAGGTCTGGGCCCCAGACTCAGGAGTCTGCCTGCAGAGTGTCAGGGGAGGGTGAGTTCAAGCTCCAACAGCAGCCAGACGTCCCCCACAACCCCGGCAGGATGAACCCCAACACAGCTCCAGCTCGACCTGCCAGGACCATGGGCCTGCTGGGAGGCAGGGACCCGCCGGGCACTGGGGAAGGAGACTGGCTGCCCTTGGTGGCCAGGGCCCCTGGATGGTAAACGTGTTCTCCAGGGAGCAGCCAGCTACCTGAATGTGCGGCCTGCGCTGTTGCTGTGGTTTAAGTCTGCTTGGGACTTGTGTTGGTTTAATGGCTCATTAAGGGGTTGCAGCCCATACTTTTTAAACAAAGTAACTTACTAGACATGGCCTAGTGTGGATATGATCATGTCAGTTCCATTGTCAGCAGCCTGACTTCCTGGAGTTGAGACCTGTTGGGGTTCTATTGCCTCAGTAAGGATTCTGGCTTATGTTTTCATCCCCTCCACTGGGTTGGCCACTGGGTACAGGGTCAGGGTGCCCTAGACCCCATTGCTGTCCCCCGCAGCCACAAGCAGGGGCTGGCCAGTGGTTGATGTGAGATCTGGAATGGAACCCTGTTAGGGGGAATCTTCTCCCCCAGCGGCTCTCAGCTCTCCCTTGGGGCGCTGCTCCCCGCCCCCCTCAGCCGTGCTTTCTGGGAGTGACTCCACTCTTACTGGTGAAGGGGTGAAGGGGCAGAGTGCCCTCACAAGGAGGATAAGGGGTAGACTGGGCTAGACTCTGTCCCACAGAGTCGGAAAATCATATCACGTGGAGGAGGGGCTGAGCAGCCCTATATGACCCTGCAGGGAAAATCAAGACCCCACTCAACACCTTAGCCATAGAGCACACAATGAATGTTTTCTGAGGAATAACTAATGCGTGGAAGCCATTGTTGTACCAGTCTGCATTGTTCTGAAATGGACCAGGTTATCAGGAACTCTGGAGAGAGACCGAGAATCCCATCAACTAAACATTTTCTAATGCCAGGCACTTTACAAATATTGTCTCATGAAGGCCTAGCATACATGATTGACCTGAACCCAGAGTCTGGTCTCATTCACCGGACTGGCCGCAGGAAGCAATGAGGTTCCTACTAGAAGCTGCATTCAATTAACAGCTGAGCACACATCTGGAGTGGATTTGATGCAAGCATTTGAGTATCACATAGAGTGTTTGTCTTGGCCTGGGTGCCCATCCCCTTAGCCCAGAAAGCAGAGCCCGAGTTGGGGCCTTTGCAGTGAGGGCTTTTGTTCCCAAGAGGCTGGGGGCAGGGGAGTGGGGCTGGGAAGGAGAGGGAGCCAGAACCAGTGTGCTCTGTTGATGGGGTCCCCATTATGGGCAGCTGGAACTGGAACCCTGAACCTTCCCAGACCACAGGAGAATTATCCACCAGAGCTTGAAGGAGAGAAGCCTTCACCCTTGGTCCTGTCATCTGGGGTCGCCCCTTGGGGCATTCACTCCCCTGCACTTGTGGGTGGTAATGTGGGAATCCCACAGGTATCCCCTAGGGCATGGCCAGGTGAGGCTTGTCCAGAACTGTGTGCTGTGGGCCTGGCTGGAACCAGAGTATGAGAAGGGCTGAGCAGGAGGCAAGAGGAGGCTGACATGAGATTGGAAAAGCAGAAGGAAACTTAACGT